TGTGGTATTTAATATTTACTTTGGAACACTGAAAAGCAGGTGAATGAATATGAATAACCTTTGACTTGCTACCATTAATTATAAGGCCATTATCATGACACCATTCTAACAAGTTATTTACTGCACTCTGCATATCTGCTTCAGCCTCTTTAATGTCTTTCTTAGCAACCATAATAGCAGTATCATCTGCATACATGTATGTATTAGCCTTTTTAATATATTTGGGAAGGGTATTTGTATATATAATGTATAATATAGGTCCAAGAATACTTCCTTGAGGCACACCTGACTTAAGTTCTACTTCTTCACTTGTAATGTCTTCTATTTTAACTATCAATTTTCTACATGTCAGGTAATCTGAAAACCAATTAAGAAATCTACCTCTTATTCCTATACTCCTTAACGATCCTATTATCTTTTCAAATTGCAGCGTGTCAAAGGCTTTTGTAAAATCTACAAATGTAACCAATATTTGATTTCCTTTATCTATCTCTTTATTTACGTTATTAGCAAATGCTTGCAGTAATAACTCTGTGCTTTTGTTTTTCTGAAACCCATATTGACACTTATCTATAATGTTATTCTCTGTCAGATATCTGTTCAGGTTTAGGGATATGTATCGTTCCATTATTTTATCTATTGCACATAATATTGATATAGGGCGGTAATTTTGATATAAATTGTGGCATCCTGATTTATAAATTGGTCTTACAATAGCTGTTTTAAGTCTGGTGGGAATTCTACCCTCTGAAAGTGAATTATTTATAATATTGACTATAATTTCTGAGACATCGGCACTACATTTTTTTAAGTCATCAACTCTAATTCCATCAATACCTGGACTTTTTTTCTTTAATTTCATTAAAATCATTTCTATGTCTTGCTTTTTAGCTTTTGGGATATATAGAGAGGTGTTTTGTATTATTTCCTCAGTTTGTTCAACATCAATTAATTTAACATGGCATTTATAAACAATACTATTTATTTCAGTTGTAAAAGTGTTTGAAAAATTATCACATATCTGTTTTAAAGTACTTCCTTTATTTACCATATATTTTTGTACCATCTCATCAATGCTCTGCTTTTTCTTCCTTCCCAAAACTATATTAATCTCTTCCCATGTCTTTTTTATATCTTTTTTATTTTCCTCAAAAATCTCGCCATAATATTTTACCTTTGCTCTAAATATATCTTTATTTATAAGATTCCTTAGATTTCTATATTCATTTAGAATGAAGAAACGAAAGTTGAAAAAAATCTGTTATTGAGCATAGAGAGTCGATGAAAAGCTACGGACCCTTAGCTCAAAAGCCGGACATGCCGCCAGACTTGCTGGAAAAAAAGATTTAATCAAAGGTCTTAGAAGAACCAAGGAAGAGCGGGAAAATCTTCAACAAGCTACGGTCATGCAATCGCAATGCGGAATGTAGAAAGAAGAAAGGAGGAAACTACTGACTGCATGTCATGGTGTCTACTCTCCGGGAAAACCGGGAATTCTCCGGGATTTTTATATTACCGTGAAATAACCTGGAAAACTCCGGGTATTTTACCAATGCTCCGGGAATCCAAATATTGACATATTAAAAGCCTATTCAGTAAAATTGGTGTTTTATTTACCCCTATTCCCATTACTCTGTGTCTATTTTGTGTATTTCAGCAAAACAGTTTTTTTAAATTCAATGTTGCATAGTTTTTATCAGCAACGAATTGATCTACGTGTGAAAGTCGTCGTCTGAACATGAAGCTCTGGAGCTGAAGTTGTGATTGTGAAATAGTTGTGCCTGTCGACTGTCAGTGTATAGTCGTCTGTTAACAACACTGACAAAGTCAAGTGGATCAACAAAGAGGTTAACATCTGACTTGAACACCGCAGTAAATATGTCTGCCCACAGCCCGAATAGTAAACGGTGCCCAGTTTTTTTCTCATCTCTTAGTTTTCTGCTGCTGTCATCGTCGTCCTTAAGATTTGCGAATTGTGATGTAATTTTGTTCTTTATTGTGCCACTTAAGTTTTTAGACCTTTCAAAATGTAAAAATTATTATTAAATTTGATCATTTTTGACCCTTTTTTTACAAATTTTGTTGTGTTGTATATCAAAATGAATTTTTTACTAACCTCTGTCTATGCCATGGAATAGGCTACCTACTTCAGAAAAATATTTTTTTGTCATTTTGTGTCCTCCTAAAATAAAGTCCCTAGTAGTGCGTCTGTAGTGTTGTGTCTCATGTTGCTGATGTTGCTGATCAAGGTAAGTGGTTTATTTAAATTAGTTTAGGCTATTTGCATCCACATTCAATTTGGGGTTTTTATGGCCAAATTGGCTTCAGCAGAAATCTTAACTTAACCTAAAATATCAACATGACAAGCAGAAACATAGCCTCTGGCATATTACGGTTGGATGTTGGCAACAGTTTAGTTCAGTTATTTAGTACTGTATTTGATTCTAAAGCTTTGCCTTAGGCCTATGTCTAGATTTTTACAATATTTAAGGCCCATACTAACTTGTGGCGTCAACTTAGCCACAGTTGTGATGCCTTTGATCTTCACTTTATCTATATATAAAGCCAAAAGTACCCATGAACTTTTGAGAAAACTACAAGTCACACCCCCATGAACCATATACTTAAAATGTTCGTCATGACGAGAAACCTTGCGCAAAATTATCCGTTATTTCATAAATTGCCCTATAAGGTTGTAATTGCTTTCCAAAGGGAACTTTCCATTTACCTAATGTTAAAAATACCTCAGCTGTTATTATTTGTTTGCATTACCATTACTGTATTCTGTTTTGTTTATTTCATCTTAACTTAACCAATCAATAGTTTTATTAATACTAATGTAGTAAAACGGGGTGGAGCCCGTGGGTAACAGCTAGTTGTAATAGGTACTTACTATGTAACAGCTGTTGCTGGATTGTTAAAATGTTTAGTTTTTACTAAGTCATGATTTAACACACTTCTTCATTCGTTTGTAAATAAAAACGGTAACACATCAAAATATTTGTTCACATAGTGGTGTAATTATTTCACACAAATTAAAAACCACTAAGTTTATAAACTTATTGGTTACAAAATTTACAAATGAATAATTTATTTATTAAGTTAGCCTATATTGCAATATTTTAGGCCTATGAGCACAAAGTTTATATCGTTTGGTAAAGCATTCTTGGTTCAGCCTTTAACTACCTACAACATATAATTCCTGCATTTTAAAAGTTGCAGAAGTCAATAACAAATATTGGTCTAGGTTTCATTTTCTATCAATATTTTTGGTAGCCTACTAGGCTTTAGCCCTATTGCTTTGCTTACAAGAAAAGATCAGTTGAATAACAATAGTATTTTATTTTTAATTTGTATGTCAACTTAGTAAGATTTAGGCCTAATTGATACCTAAATCTGTTGTAATTCTTAAGTCAAAGATTTTGCCAATTTTTCTGTTGAGTCTAACCCTTATGCCTACTTATCATACAGAGCCAACACGTGTTGTAAGTTAGTTTAGTTGGATTTATGAGCAAAGAACTCTTTGTTTTATAATAGGCTAGTAAAAATGTCACAAAAATTAACAAAAAAATCAATAAGACTAACTTAAATTTAGGTAGCCTTTGTATTTTAGTATTTTTTAGGCCTACTTACAGTTATCATTATCATCAGATAGCACTCATATGATGCCAGTTTTTGACTGTACCAAAACTAAAAACAATAAGTTATGGTAGGCCTACTTAACTTAGTAACTTATTTCATTTGTATATGAATAATAAGTAGGTCTACAGTTGGATTTTTTAAAACTTAAGTAGTGGTTATTTTTGGTAGGCTACTGTAACGAAGTTCTTTGGCTGCATTTTATTTTATTTCCATTCCAACGGCAATGCCATCTCAAAATTGATACAGTTAGGCCTAATAATTATTACAATTTTAAATGGGCCTACTTATAAATAAATACTTAGTATGCATTGTCATCATATGCTTCTGATTGTCATGAAATGTCTTTATCGTCCAAATTGGCTTAAATAAACAATAGCCTAATGTTCTATAGGTAAACAATAATGTCTAGGCCTATCGATTAGTAGGTTTATTAGCCTGTTTGGTATCTTAACTTAGTAAACTTTGATACATTGCTGAATTAGAATAGCCTAAATTATGCTTTATCCAATATAATTTCCAAGATTAACAGTTCTCTCATTTAAGGTAGGCCTACAGTAGCAGATTCATCTTAGTGTCTAACTCATTACTAACAACCTTGAATTAAACAGGAATAACTTGTAATTATAACCCTATAAGTAATGTTGCTGCTAACTTTGACTGGCTTCAATAAATAATTTCTTAACCAGCATAATAATTATTAAAGTAATGTGTTAAACGTTTTACTGAGAGTAAAGATATACGTCTCTAATAACAATAGAAGTTTGTCTACCATAACTATTCTTAAAGTGTTATTTATTAGAAATATTTTTATTTATTCCTGGCATAAAGTATAATGAATAGTTGGAAATTAAAGAAGCGTGAACAATTAAATGTGCAACGTTCTAGAATTTTAGGCTACTAATTTGCAGCACACTGAAGATTTAGTTTTGTGCCGTAGTGGGTTATTGTATTAGGAAAAGAAATAGCAAGTATGGATGAAAACGTAACCTAATCAGTTATCTAACTGCCGTAGTAAATTAGTAGTGTCTATGTTATACATAATTAACTACCTTTTAATATAACTTTCTAATGCTTTTGGATATGCTTTTTTGTTCCAGATACCATGCCACAAAAGTATAAAACGTCTTTCCAGATCAGATGGAAGAGTGAATTTTCCTGGGTCAAGGAAGGGGAGAAAGGCACTGCTTGGTGTTTGTTGTGCAAAAGAGAAATAAATGTTCAAACCATGGGTAGGACAGCCTTAGTGAGCCACGAAAAGTCAGCAAAACACAAAGAATTAGTCAACGACTCTCAAAAATCCATTAGTTTGGAGACATTTTTTACAAGTAAATCCAAAACTATTTCTTCATCTTCCGAAAATGTTCATTCTATTCCAAATCGGGTGGAACCCTCAGTCCTACCAGGTCCCTCCACTTCTGTCGCACCAGGTCCCTCCACTTCTGTCGAACCAGGTCCCTCCACTTCTGTCGAACCAGGTCCCTCCACTTCTGTCGAACCAGGTCCCTCCACTTCTGTCGAACCAGGTCCCTCCACTTCTGTCGAACCAGGTCCCTCCACTTCTGTCGAACCAGGTCCCTCCACCTCTGTCGTACCAGGTCACTCCACTTCTGTCGAACCAGGTCCCTCCACCTCTGTCGTACCAGGTGCCTCCACTTCTGTCGTACCAGGTGCCTCCACCTCTGTCGTACCAGGTGCCTCCACTTCTGTCGTACCAGGTCCCTCCACCTCTGTCGTATCAGGTCCCTCCACGTCAACATCATCATCTAAATCAAAATTTGAATCCTTTCGTATTAAAGACTCTGTCACCGAAGCTGAAACACTGTGGTGTCTACACACTGTCATGTACCACCATTCTCTTAGGAGTGCTGAGAGTGCTGTTCATCTATTTAAAAGAATGTTTTCTACTTCTGACATTGCTCAAGAGATGAGACTAGGAAAAGACAAAATTTCCTATTGCATTATTTATGGACTCAGCAACTACTTCAGGAAAAAACTTATTGAATCCATACAAAGCTCTGATTCTAAATATTTTGTAGTCGCCTTTGATGAGTCACTGAACAAAGTTTCGCAGACACAACAGATGGACGTCTGTATCAGGAATTGGAATGACAATCTCAATCAAGTTGCCTCTAGATACTTGACTTCTGTATTTCTATATAGTTCTAAGGCTGAAGACCTGCTGAATGCTTTAAAAGAGGGTTTAAGGGGACTCAAACTTGATTACATACTACAAATCTCAATGGACGGACCAAATGTCAACAAAAAATGCTGCGTCTTTTAAAAAATGAAATTCAACAAAATGAAGAAGGTAGCAAACTTTTAGAGATTGGCACATGTGGCTTGCATGCTGTAAATGTTGCGTTTAAAACCGGAATTGAAGAAACTGGATGGGAGCTGTTATCATTTTTTAGAACATGCTATTATGTTTTCAAAGACAGTCCCTCTCAAAGAGGTGATTATTTTGCAATCACTAACACAAAAGTACTACCAAAGAAATTTTGCTCAGTTCGCTGGGTAGAAAATGTAGATGTGAGTAAAAGAGCCCAGGAAATTTTGCCCCATCTAAAAACTTACGTCGAAAATGTGAAAGGCACAATCAAAGAACCTAAAAGCAAAAGTTTCAAAATCATGTCAAATGCTTTAGCTGATACTCTTCTGCCAGCAAAGATTGCATTTTTTGGATGGCTAGCAGAGGAAGTAGAGCCATTTCTTCGAAACCTCCAAACGGATGCTCCAATGGTTCCATTCCTCCATGATGATCTATGCAACATAACCAAAAGTGTCATGGAAAAATTTGTTAAGACAGAAATTCTTAATGAGAAACCCCTCAAAGACATCGATGTTTTTGATAAAAACAATGATGGTGCTTTTGTCAACCTAAGACCAGCCAAACATATTGATTTGAGCTATAGTGTGAGATCAGCCATATCTAAGTGTAAGGGGTCTTTACCAATGTAGACTCAGATGTTTACCAAAACAAACTATATGTTTTTTTTTACTTTTCTTTGTTTACACTTATTTATTTAGCAATTGATGCAGTGAAATTGATATAAAGGATATGTGTGGACGATTCGTTTAATGATGTCAGGACACCAACGTTATAATTATGTGTAGCCTACTGTGAATTTTATTGGATGTTTTCGTTTTATTTTAGGGAGTGTCTATTCGGACCTACTGGAAATTGTGTATAGTATGAGTAATTGTATTGTGTTGATATTGATTAAGGAAGAGGCAGTTATGCGATGGAATTGGAAGGTGATATCGTTGACTAGGCCTATACACTTTCTCAATTTTGATAATTACTCTTTCTACTGTAGGCTGCTATAAATTGTTTCTTTATACGTGTAAGCTAGCTGTTCTGATTTATACACAGTTGTAACTGACTACTCCCGTACGTAGGACGGGCTAACACCTCGTCTTATATAATACAAATTTTGCAAAACATATGACAGCTAGCCTGACTATAATACTAGAACAAATTACAAGCGATTGGTACCAAGTGAAAGATATTTTCCTGTAGATGTGCAGAATCCCTTTATAAATTAAAATAGACTCAAAACAAGCACAAAATATGAATAATAAATAATACATACTTTAGGTCGAGTTTTCGACCAAGGACCGAGCTCCGATTAAAAAACGATCGTAATTAAAGCGGTGTACCGCAAATCGCGTATTTAGCCTGTAAGGCACCAGATGAGGTTTTAAAGGCACTCGCCAGGTTCGTTAACTACTATTGTAAGCCATCTTAACCTTATTCAATGAGGGTGGTTTAATTATTAGGGATATTATAACTAACGAAATGGATAGTAAACATAGACCATTAATTAAGTCACTAGCTTTACTAGCGTGTTTTACGTTTTAAATTCCTTCAACATGTGACCAGTTCTTTTGTTCAAATGAATATTATTTTATTTTTATTGACTCAGATGTTTACCAAAACAAACTATATGTTTTTTTTTTTACTTTTCTTTGTTTACACTTATTTATTTAGCAATTGATGCAGTGAAATTGATATAAAGGATATGTGTGGACGATTCGTTTAATGATGTCAGGACACCAACGTTATAATTATGTGTAGCCTACTGTGAATTTTATTGGATGTTTTCGTTTTATTTTAGGGAGTGTCTATTCGGACCTACTGGAAATTGTGTATAGTATGAGTAATTGTATTGTGTTGATATTGATTAAGGAAGAGGCAGGTATGCGATGGAATTGGAAGGTGATGTCGTTGACTAGGCCTATACACTTTCTCAATTTTGATAATTACTCTTTCTACTGTAGGCTGCTATAAATTGTTTCTTTATACGTGTAAGCTAGCTGTTCTGATTTATACACAGTTGTAACTGACTACTCCCGTACGTAGGACGGGCTAACACCTCGTCTTATATAATACAAATTTTGCAAAACATTTGACAGCTAGCCTGACTATAATACTAGAACAAATTACAAGCGATTGGTACCAAGTGAAAGATATTTTCCTGTAGATGTGCAGAATCCCTTTATAAATTAAAATAGACTCAAAACAAGCACAAAATATGAATAATAAATAATACATACTTTAGGTCGAGTTTTCGACCAAGGACCGAGCTCCGATTAAAAAACGATCGTAATTAAAGCGGTGTACCGCAAATCGCGTATTTAGCCTGTAAGGCACCAGATGAGGTTTTAAAGGCACTCGCCAGGTTCGTTAACTACTATTGTAAGCCATCTTAACCTTATTCAATGAGGGTGGTTTAATTATTAAGGATATTATAACTAACGGAATGGATAGTAAACATAGACCATTAATTAAGTCACTAGCTTTACTAGTGTGTTTTACGTTTTAAATTCCTTCAACATGTGACCAGTTCTTTTGTTCAAATGAATATTATTTTATTTTTATTGACTCAGATGATTACCAAAACAAACAATATGTTTTTTTTTTTTTTACTTTTCTTTGTTTACACTTATTTATTTAGCAATTGATGCAGTGAAATTGATATAAAGGATATGTGTGGACGATTCGTTTAATGATGTCAGGACACCAACGTTATAATTATGTGTAGCCTACTGTGAATTTTATTGGATGTTTTCGTTTTATTTTAGGGAGTGTCTATTCGGACCTACTGGAAATTGTGTATAGTATGAGTAATTGTATTGTGTTGATATTGATTAAGGAAGAGGCAGGTATGCGATGGAATTGGAAGGTGATATCGTTGACTAGGCCTGTACACTTTCTCAATTTTGATAATTACTCTTTCTACTGTAGGCTGCTATAAATTGTTTCTTTATACGTGTAAGCTAGCTGTTCTGATTTATACACAGTTGTAACTGACTACTCCCGTACGTAGGACGGGCTAACACCTCGTCTTATATAATACAAATTTTGCAAAACATATGACAGCTAGCCTGACTATAATACTAGAACAAATTACAAGCGATTGGTACCAAGTGAAAGATATTTTCCTGTAGATGTGCAGAATCCCTTTATAAATTAAAATAGACTCAAAACAAGCACAAAATATGAATAATAAATAATACATACTTTAGGTCGAGTTTTCGACCAAGGACCGAGCTCCGATTAAAAAACGATCGTAATTAAAGCGGTGTACCGCAAATCGCGTATTTAGCCTGTAAGGCACCAGATGAGGTTTTAAAGGCACTCGCCAGGTTCGTTAACTACTATTGTAAGCCATCTTAATCTTATTCAATGAGGGTGGTTTAATTATTAAGGATATTATAACTAACGGAATGGATAGTAAACATAGACCATTAATTAAGTCACTAGCTTTACTAGCGTGTTTTACGTTTTAAATTCCTTCAACATGTGACCAGTTCTTTTGTTCAAATGAATATTATTTTATTTTTATTGACTCAGATGTTTACCAAAACAAACTATATGTTTTTTTTTACTTTTCTTTGTTTACACTTATTTATTTAGCAATTGATGCAGTGAAATTGATATAAAGGATATGTGTGGACGATTCGTTTAATGATGTCAGGACACCAACGTTATAATTATGTGTAGCCTACTGTGAATTTTATTGGATGTTTTCGTTTTATTTTAGGGAGTGTCTATTCGGACCTACTGGAAATTGTGTATAGTATGAGTAATTGTATTGTGTTGATATTGATTAAGGAAGAGGCAGGTATGCGATGGAATTGGAAGGTAATATCGTTGACTAGGCCTATACACTTTCTCAATTTTGATAATTACTCTTTCCACTGTAGGCTGCTATAAATTGTTTCTTTATACGTGTAAGCTAGCTGTTCTGATTTATACACAGTTGTAACTGACTACTCCCGTACGTAGGACGGGCTAACACCTCGTCTTATATAATACAAATTTTGCAAAACATATGACAGCTAGCCTGACTATAATACTAGAACAAATTACAAGCAATTGGTACCAAGTGAAAGATATTTTCCTGTAGATGTGCAGAATCCCTTTATAAATTAAAATAGACTCAAAACAAGCACAAAATATGAATAATAAATAATACATACTTTAGGTCGAGTTTTCGACCAAGGACCGAGCTCCGATTAAAAAACGATCGTAATTAAAGCGGTGTACCGCAAATCGCGTATTTAGCCTGTAAGGCACCAGATGAGGTTTTAAAGGCACTCGCCAGGTTCGTTAACTACTATTGTAAGCCATCTTAACCTTATTCAATGAGGGTGGTTTAATTATTAAGGATATTATAACTAACGGAATGGAAAGTAAACATAGACCATTAATTAAGTCACTAGCTTTACTAGCGTGTTTTACGTTTTAAATTCCTTCAACATGTGACCAGTTCTTTTGTTCAAATGAATATTATTTTATTTTTATTGACTCAGATGTTTACCAAAACAAACAATATGTTTTTTTTTTTACTTTTCTTTGTTTACACTTATTTATTTAGTAATTGATGCAGTGAAATTGATGTAAAGGATATGTGTGGACGAT